TTTTATATAATATATCAAATGGCAAAAACGTATCGGGGCTCAACCACGAGCATAGGGTTGCTTGAATATGTTTATTTGAGTACATTATAGTATCATTTTGCTTTCATAATAGTGATTGTTCGGTTGGAAGTTTGATTTTCCACAAAACGATTACAGGCGCACGCTCTAAACGTTTGGACACCACCCGACGTGGTTCTCACGACGGTTAATGCGAACAATAAAATATTATAATTTTATTTGTTCTGTACTCTGTTGTAGTACACAGCTGTTGATATTTACATTTAGCGTAATATCTATTGACATACTCTTGCATTGTATCGCGTCGGGAAAATGTATATAGTTTTTTTTTTTTTACCATTTCATACACTGCTGTAGAGCACGGGATATTGATCCCGTCGCGTAGGTAAAAACCCAGTGGCAGTAATGGCGAATAATAAAATGAAAAATCAAAAAAAAATCCAGAAAATCCTCTTACACGGTCTCTCTCGCTTTATATCTTTGCCCCAGCCCCGACGGCTAATCCTATTACCGCTTCTTTGGCCGCTCTATAGTCGAATATGATTATTTCGCCGCCAACGGAACACACACAAAAGTACATGGTAGATTTCGCCTGAATTTCTTTGCACGTATAGGTATGTATACTCGTGCAAGTACAGACGATGTACAGAGAACACACACTAAATTATGCCGCTACAGTACGTTTAGACATTTAGACTCGGGAGATTAACTTTGTACATAAATCATTGATCGTACACGGCCCGGGACGAGCCCCTTAATGGGAGTGCAACGTGAATCTTACATGATAACAGTTAAATATTTCCTAGAGTACATAGTGCTCTGGTGCTGTATTGTTTGCGAATTTTAGGAGTTCAATTAGAGCCACGGTAGGAGACGCTGGAAGAAAAAAATTCACAATATCATCTACCTATGTGTTGTGTGGGTAAGCATTTGTCTATTTTTGGGCGAGCGGTAGTTAAGTGAATAACGAACCTTAGGTTCGGTATAATGTACACCCATATAATGTATTGTACGACATTATAAAAATATTATAACTAGACTTTTTAATGTCGAGCTCGTTTGGCCGTAACCGTAAACACTAGTGTACGCGTCCAAAAAAAAAAAAAAAAACTACGACGAGCCAAGTTCACAAAAATGACCGTCCTGATGGAGCTTATATGTTAAAATAGCCCCCTTGAACAATATATACATATAAATAGAACATTGTACAATTCTGTTACAACATGAGTAACGTGGGTTTTAAAGTACTTTAACGAAAATGTTCAACTATACTATGACAGCAAAAACATAATTGTTGTTCGTTAATCGAAATTCTTAATAATTATTAAAAAAAAAATAATAATTTTTTTAAATGAGAATAAAATTAAGAACTTTACAAATTGTGAAATATCAAAAACAAATAAAATGTTTTCAGTTGATTTAACTGTAACCTGATGAACAAATCCAAAAATAGGTTAACCTGGAGTAATCATGTTTTTGTTTAAATTTAAAAGGCCCAGACGAAATGTCTTTAAATTTTACAACATGTTTGAATATATTATTATTGTTATTTATAATATATTTTGTTGATTTTATTTGGACGTATACGGTAAATTACAGTAGGATGTACACATAAATGTTTTGTATAAATAAATGGATTACATAATAATTTGCATGATGATTATCAATATATTTTATAGTTAAGTTTATCGGAAAACCAAAAAAAAATAATATATTTGCTAAGCTTTTGAAACCCGAAAATCTATTATTATAATTATTAAATGTTAACGATATTTAGGAAATATTAGTAAAGAGAAAATCGAAACTTTTTTGGAATTAATATTTTTGATATTTACTGCCAAAAACAAACGTAAAGATATTTTGCCAATATAAAACACACTGTTACAATAATTTAGTATAACATATAAAGTATCATATAGTAGTTGTTCAATGGATCACGATCGTTCACATTGCAGTTCGAAGAGCCTGCCAGTTTGTTTGACGAACTTTGATGTGGTTTTTCAATTAAATTTCCTTCCTTAAAATAACCATTATCGCATAAATTGCATACGATCCTATTAAATTTGATGATACTCAACACTGCGACGCTGTGTCAAGTTGTAATGATTTATAATGTCGCCACAAAGGAAGGAATTGGTGCGCCTGCGCTATTATACAAACGGACGGGATAGGTCATGTGCGGTAGCTTCCTCGAGTGAGTATAACATGTTTATGAACATACGGCTAAAACTAAAAAAAAAAAAAGATTCGGACGGTCGTCGATCGATACAGTATTGTTGTTATTATCATTATCATTATGGCTAAAAAGCGTCAGCGTTAACTGCACACAAGCTTGGACTTGGGTTAAGTTTTCCTGCTTACCGTGCGCCCGCGTCGGACGGGTCTCCAAGAGGTCGGTTTGAGGTGGTGCTCGTGCGACACTTACCGGCAATACACCACTGTATAATAATATAATATGTGTGTACACACATTAAAACGCAATAAGCAGGTTTGCCGGCGGGTTTTTTTTTTGCGAAACGGTACCAGGACCAAGACCGACGGACCATACGTGCGCCACGACCAGCCGAGCGAATGCCTGTGATTTTCCGGCCACGTCAGACCACATGCACCGGGGGGAGACGTTTACCGAAAACAGCAGGAGCGGCAGGTCGTGTACACAGTTCTAATCTTAGACACGCTTGAAAATACCACTCGAACGCGCGCACGACACACGGCGATAATGATGCACATCAAACGCGTTTTATCTGCTGCAAGGAGTAAAGTATAGGCAATTTCTAGCATTCGTCTCGATTTAAACCTTAAGGGCCGGTACGCCGATTGAAAGCGACCGGGGTCCTGTGTGTCTTGGAGGTTTTTTACGCATATTTAATGTAGTTTCAATCAATGTCGACCGCCGTGTCGCGCTCTGTTTTCAAGCTGGTTGTTAAATATTTTCTAGTCAATAATTGTCAAGATAAATGTTTCTTTGAAAATAATCTTAAAAATAAAAAAAATGTCGGTTAGGTAAAAAAGCGCTTTCGCTGTGAGACTTTGGCTGATCCAATTCATTTCTGTGAAAATATATTTGAAACAGTTTTCAATATTAATATTTATTGTTGTCATAAAATATACATACATTATAACTTTCCGTGGCCAACTTAATTAGTACTGTTATTTTTAATATTTTTGATATTCCAAAAATTTCCTATTCCAATTTGCCTTTGCCAAGTTAAGTCCTAAGGTTAAAACTTTTTTTTTTTTTTACAATCTATACAATATGTCTAATCAGTAAGTCTGATGACAAAGATACAATGGCAATATTCAATAATGTAGGAATAGGAAGGCTCTCAGCAGTGCCACCTGACCAGAAAAGCGGTTTAAACTTAAAAACCAACTTTTACAGCAAATAATAAAAATTCCTTTTCCAGCATGACCTAATAAAGTAGCCAAAGATCTCGTATAGCTTTACAGAATTGAAATCGGACCATCCTAAGTAGTCAACATTTTGTCAAGCTGGTCGGTCTAAAATCTTAAAAAACTGACCGCTTTCAATCCTCTTAAACATAGCCATACCGCGAGACTGATGATCAGGGACATTTTGTAGTTGCTATACAAAATTCCTAATAACAGACTTGAGGAGCACATTGTTCTAGCACATCTAGTTAAATAATTTATTTTAAATCGAGCAATTTTTTTTTTTTGGGCTAAATTTTGAACTTTGTTTTATCAAATATAAATTCTCCATACTCGTTTTTGAAATGACGCCCAAAAATGTAAACGACTTATGAAACAAAAATTGTAAATTTCTTTTTTTTTTATGTATAAAAAAATAGATACTTAGAGTAATATATTATGAATATTATATTCTCAAAACAGTTTTCAAAATTATATTTAAGAAAAATTCCTGTTTATTTTTGTTCTATAAAACTATAAATAAAATACTAAAAATGTACGTTATAAACGATGAAAAATTTGGATGTTTTCTACGAAAATGTTAAGTATTTGTATTAAAATACATCCAAAACGTTGAAAAAATATTTATTTTGCTGAAGTGCTGCTTTTAGGTAGTAAAAATGTTTTTTAAATATCGTTTGAAACAACATATTAATTTTTAATGGTTTTATAAATATAATGGAAACATTATTTTTAACGTACGGGATTTTAATAAACGCAGAACAGATGATAAACATAATAATATTATGATCAAAAGTAGAGTATAGTATCTTGCCAAATAATAATTTGGAGTGTGCGATTTTCTTCATTGGTTTTCTTTGACACAGATACTGACGGAGTAGTTTATAAAAAAACACCATGTGTGTATGTTTATGTATTTTGTTTTACTGCTATTAATATTGATTTCCGGTTGTGCGATAAGCGTTAAAATATGTTAGTAAAAATACACAACTGTTATAATTTTGCTAAGCTCGTAATGTAATAATATGTTTTATTGTAGTTAAAATTAACATAATGATTATTTATTTTAAACGACTTATTCTATCTCTATAATAAATATGAAACACTCATTTCCCAATCGCGAATTTTTTCATAAAATACATACCAGTACCTATTATTTGTATTCTCAAAATTAAAAATATTATGCCAGCATAACAAATTTTTGGGCGAAACTGTTGAACGTTGGCACCGTGTTTCGACTGAACTGACTGACATAATATATGATGTATGGCAAATGCCAATTAATTTTACAAATTGATATACCACTCAAAATATTTACAACTTTGATATTAACAAAACAATTTAACTTTTATAATGCCAAGTGTCCATTCATTTCCAAGTGGTCACGTCGTGGAATATCAATAGTTATATTTTTATTTTACTAATTTATGAAAAAAAAAACGCGAAAGCTATGAAATTCTTTAGAGGTGATCTTCAGTCGATATGGGGAAAGGGACGGGCGTATCGTTTGAAATTCTCACTACCCTATACTGTTAATATTTGCTCGTTTAATTTTGGTTTAAAATTATATATGTCCGAGTTCTACTTACCGGCGCACAAATTTCCGGCTGTACCTGCAGTTCACCGGTGTCGAATGTGTTATCTTTTTCTTCTTCTATTATCTGCAATTGGTCTTGCAGGTCATTTTCCTCGATTACGGTGGACAAAAACGAGTCGAGTTTGCTTATTTCCTGCTGCTGTTCTTCGTCCGTTATCAATTTGCCTTCGTCTTCTTCCTACACAAATCACAAACCATCAATTTTTACAACCGCTATGGTAACCCAAGTCGTAACAATAACATTATCGCATACGTCGTTGTTTCGCTTTTAGTTAAGGCGAACTTACATTTAAATGTAATGATGTTTTTAATTTTTACCGCCCACATTTTGTTGAATTTAGTATTTATGGGTCTGAATGTGCATAAATCGACAGTTTGAAATGCCATTTCACAATTATTATTTATTTAGAACGGCTATTCGTGTGTAATGGTAAATAAATCAAGTAGAAATCTTATTCTAATCGCAATAAAAAAATATATATATATTGTTTTTTTTTTTTTATTAGCGGAGTCATATAAAACAAATCATTTTTGCAGCGCAAGTTAGTTATTAAAATCCAGCGACAACTTCGTCCTATGTATGGTAATTAAATCAAAATTGATTTTCGTAAGTTGCAGAGTTAAATGTAAAAAAACAAAAATGTAGTAAACAAATAATTTTTAATTTAAATTAATAATAATGTCTAATAATATTGAATTTTCAACTATAATTTTTACTTGTTGAGGTTCTCTATGAGATTTATTTAAAATGATAATTGATATGTTTCGTGAATTTCAGTTATTGAACTAACCATTGTTCTTACTTCATTGGAACGGAAAGTGATATTTATTTTATTATACGTTTTTGTAGCTTATAAACAAGACAGATCACGACGTGATAAATCACTGGAAACAAGATAAATTACTATCTTTTGAAAACATTTTTTTGATTAGTGTTCCATAAAAAATTATTTTAATGTTTTTGCTTAAGGGGAATGAAAGCGGGCTTTTTCGACCATGTCAATTTATTTCAAGTTTAATACAAGCTTCAGGGTATTATTTTTAACGTGTACCTACAATGTTTTTTATGAGTACAAGTATAATTTTGGTGGCAGGTGGTAAAAAATGCTTTTACACATTTTTTCCTAGCTCGCTAGAATAAATAACGATTATAGTAAAAGTTATAAAAGAAAAATTATATCTAAATCTGTCTTTTATGTTTGTTTGGTTTGGTTATGTGTAATGTACTTGAAACGCAAATTGTTTTCCATGTAATTAAAAAAAAAAAAAATGTTAAACATGTGAAGGGCACAGAGGAAAAACGGTAGTATGAAAATCGTTTTTTTCAAATAGTTTTTTCCAATTTATGCCATTCATTTTATTTATTTATGTCAATAGATTGTTTAAAAAAATACATTTTTTATTGGAATATCATTTAATGTGATTTTTTTGTTGTTATGTGAAGAATGAGAGGAATTCACGAACTTTGATTTTGCTATACTCTAAAATGTTCATAATGTGACTACTACCGTTTTTCCCCTGTGCCCATCATATTTATAAAAAAAAAAAAAACAGCGTTTTAACTTAAAATAGGAATTTTTTTCAACAGGGTTTTTTTTTTTGCAAATCTGGAAACTACTTAAAACACTTGACGTTGCTCGACTACGACTTTATTTACATTCAAAGTTTCTACAATAGCTACGACGATGGTAATAAGTAATAACAGTGTTGTTCTGTATACTTTTAATATCTTTTTCAAGGACTTCCGTACATGGCGGATAGGCATAATTTTTAGACTTAGTGTTGCACTGTTATATATATTGTGTTATACCATCTTTGAGCAATTCCAAAGAAACGGACCGAGATCTCGGTCGGAGTAAATTAATTTTTAATGCGTTTTCCAGTTAAGATATAATATCAGTTTATACGAAAACTTTTCCAGGCGTGGTTTTTGCGGTATATAAACCGCATTTAAATAAGTACATGGTGACGACGTTCTTGGTAATAATCACTCATGCCATCATAAAACATATAAATCGCAATGGGAATAAAACAAACCCGTCGGGTAAACAAGGGAAATACGAATTTGAATAACGCGTTCATTGCAAACATTTCTCAGCCGCAAATCAAAGCAAGGTTTTTATTGCCCAAAAGTTAAATAATAAGAAAAAAAAACGGGGGTTTTCCGGAAAATTTATCACTAATCGTTTGTATTTGTTACGTTACAAAGCAAAGCGAATGCATTTTTTTAGCATAATAATTTTACCTCTTCGTTTTCCGACTGTTCTCTGCTTTTCACGTAGTTCTCCAGCCGTTCGTACTCTTCTCGCAAATTCCATATCTCTCTTTTGAGCTGTTGGTTTTCTCGGCGAAGTTTCTTAATATAATACTGACCTGAAGAAACATGACGTACATTGTTAACGGTAAATATACAAAACGCGAACTGTAGCTTGAAAACGCGTACATATATTTTCTGAGCAAATTACAAAAAAAAAAAAACAAACAAACAAATTTGCTAAACTTACGCGAATAGAATAAATGAATACCGACATTATTTTCGCGGTTGATATTTTATATTATATTTTTTTCCCCGTTGTATTTGTGCGGCGTGAACCGAACGAGGTAATTTTTGAAAGAATTCGATCACGCCGAAGAACACGAACATTGTAAAAAAATATGGATGTTTATTATTTGTTAGATATTTACATTTTCGATAAAAAAAAACTTAGGTTTCCCCCGCCTTGATCGGCTGTAAGTTTTGTTAAAAAAAACAAACCAGCTGTGACGTTTTTCCACGTCCCTCGTAAAAGAAAACTATTTTTTTTTTTCTGTTCTTTTCATACCCGCTTGAATGATTTACTCACCCCACCCTGCTAAGTCGAAAAACTTGTATTTACAATAACAATAATAAAAAGTAGAAATCACATTTACATCGAAACGGCGTTCGATAAATAATAATAAGAGAATAAAAAAGTATGCTACTTAAGGAATGAAAGAGGAGGCTACTATGAACAATTTAACAATATTATGTATATGTATACAGACAATCGATAAATACAGAATCATAATCTTTGGAAAATCTCTGAATGCAATTTAATAATAATGAAAATACCGCCATCTGCTGCAAAAATTTACCACTCATTTTGGTTTGGCCGTCATTAATATTTTAACAAATTACAATAGTTAATTGCAAGAGTACACATTTCTACAATGTGTAAACAAGTGGCCGTTAATACAATACTGATATACCTATTTTTAACAAATGATTTGGTAAATAGAAAATCAACTGGTAGATACTATTTTTGTCAAGTTATTTTTACATATAAGTGGTGTAAATAAGAAAATAATAAGGAATGTCATATTGTATTGAAAATTTAAAATGTGAAGTTAGGTGTCATAACGTCACAGGGACTACTATTTTGAAGGACAAAATCTGCTTGGCAGGCGATCAAACGTTTTTGCACTTAGACAATTTAAAAAATTCCAACTAAATACTAATCAACCTGGCGGTTAGAAACGTGACACATTGCGCACAAGACGACAGTGAAATACAACAATAAATAATATAAATAATATATTATGTACTACCCATAGGATATATTTATCTGTATAATAGTTTGTAAAACATATACTTCAAAATTATTAAAGTCGGTCAAGAAGTCACCGCAACTAAATAGGTTAGGACTTAGGTTAGAAATTCATATATTTAATTGCATACGGCAAACGGGAAACTTGATGGAACGCTGAATTACTAACCAAAAATTGTTAAGAGGACGCCACACCACAGAATCAATTTTTATTTATTTTGGTTTTATTTATTCTGTGGCCACACCACCAATTTTTAAGGAGTAAAGTATAGGCATTTTTTTTACAAAATCTTTACTTAAAGGTTAAACAGTGGTGCGTAATTATTAGTTCAGTAGTTAGGACTCTTTTTTTGGTAGTTAAATTTTTTTTCGGGCTATCATAGCATCCTTGACAGCGATTTAAAAAAGAAAATGTCTGTTGAGTTGAGTTTTACGCGGATTAATTTTTCTCAGACTTCTATCTATATATATTTAAGGAAAGAAATGCATACATATTATACATGACAAAATTATCTGTGCTCCAGCATCCGTATTTTTCGATATACCTAATACAACCGACGCTATATCATTTTAAAAAAGTCCTTTCTTAGTTAATAAATTATTCATTAACTGGTTGAAATATTAAAAAAGGGCCAGTGTAGAGCACAGACAATGTTGTTGTCTATATTATGTAAAAATTTGGTTTCTTAGTTGTGATTATAGCCTTTGTAAAATTAATCCGCGTAAGGCGAGTTTTTCGAAGAAAATAACGACCGTGTGACGTCCTCTTAAGAGGATTGCATGCGGTATGTTTTTTGACGTTTTAGACCAAAAAGCCAGACTAAATTTCGACCACTTAAGATGTTCCGATTTGAATTCTGTTAATTATACCAGTGTTTTGGCATTCGAGGTTATGTGGAAAATTGATTTTTGTTTTTTGCTTTTTTAACGTAAAAGCGGTTTTAACGAATTGGGTTTTATAATTGAAAAAATCGCAAATGTGATCAATTTAATTAAAAGAAACTGAAACTTTTAAATGAAAACCGGCTTCCTACATAACACAGTAAAGTAGCTAAAAAAATCGAATCTCTTAACAGAATTGAAATTGGGGCCATCCTACTCAGTCGAAATGTTTTCTGACTTTTTGGTCTAAAATAAACCAAAATGGCTTTTAATTATAGAGGAAATTATTTAAATTAAAAATAATACCTCGAATCTTACACAAATTGACCGGTAAATTAATTTACATAGTCGAAATTTATTTAAACCTATTTTTCCTTAATAATTGCCTATACAAAACTCCTTAAAAACAAACCGCATGCAATCCATTGAACCTGGGGGTCGATCAAAAATTTGCAAGGACATTTTCGCGCCACGAAATCTGTTACGGATACTTAAGCACCCATTGTAACTTAGTTATTTCTCGATTTTCGGATATTCGGCATATGCTACCCTACGGTAGCCCATCCAATAGGCTCTCCCGGGCCCTGTTGACTTACAGCTGATCGCAGACAACCGTTGTTCCGTGTTCGGTGCCGGGAACATTAAGGGGAACGTCCCGACTGGTCCGTCGGTCAAGCTGGTATTATTTCGGTCGGGTTAGATCAATAGGGCGTACCTACCTTTTTCTACCTCGGCGTTGATGTTGATGGTGCGCAAACGGAGCTCTTCGTTTTCATACAACATCCCTCGGGAAGAGGTGCGGTCCAGAGTGCGGTTCGGCTTGAGTGATGCATCGCGACGCCGGGACCGCAACACCGTCGACGTACCTGGCGGGACCATACCGCCCAACAAGCCGAAAAATGCATCTAACCTCACGCTACACGACCGTCGAGCGACCCTGTCAACACAACAATAATAATTATTGTCCGCTATTAGTACACACTGGGAAACGACTTAGACATAAATGGGGGGGAGTGGAGACGAAGAAAGAACATAGAGCTGGAGACATTATATAGTGGTTCGGATGTATTGAAGGTTATCCAAAAGGAGAAGACTGCGGTGGGCTGGCCATGCTTGGAGGAACCAAAATCTACGTGCAGTGATTGAACAAAATCCTGTCGGTAAAAGACCTTTGGGAAGACCAAGAATGCGCTGGGAAGATGTTATAAAAAAGGATGTTGAACAGATGGGTGGTGGTTCCAATTGGAGAAATCTAGCGTTGGACAGAGAAGGATGGAAGCTTTGGTTGTGAGACTGGATGGTCTTAAAGGCCCAATAAACCCAAGAAGAAGAAGATTAGTACACACTACACGGCTCGAGGACAAGACGTTAGGTCGGTGTTGACAAAGAACGAGTCCCATAAAGGATCGCCAATTCGTGGGTTACAGTTCATCAATATTGAGGAACGTATTTCAATGTACAAATAAATATCAATTTTTTTATGAACAGTAACGAAAAGTATTTATTATTATTTTTTTTTTTTTAATTATTTAAATTTTTGCTTATTTGTTTAGTCAACAGAGTTCAGTAATTTGTACTTCATAGTCACAATTTTTTACTTTTCGATTTACTAAATCGAATATGCGATTCCCAGAGGCCAAATGTTCCTGTGCCCCCCCCCCCCCACTGGTATGCCACTGATTACTAGGAATACAAGTGTTTTTATGATGTAAAAACATTTTTACAACGTCCAATCGTCCAGTCTGAAGATTCAGCAAATTATTCTCAACTCAAATTAAAAAAAAAAATCAAATACGTAGTCATGATTTTTTTTTTATCTGAAAAACTCCAACAAAAATAAAATATAACCCGTTAATAAACACATTTATTTTCAACAAATTGATTTACAATAAATACGTTTTTTATCATTTACAGTATCGAATTAAAAGCGTTTATTCGAAAGTGATTTACCCAAGTCATGCGACCGTCTTCCCGTCCCTACTATACACCGACTTCACTGTTCTAGATTTTTTTATTTTGTTTTATATAATTGACTATTGAAAGAGTCGTACCTATTGAAAGATTTGTATCTATTGAAAGAGTCGTATCTCTAATAAATACTTGGAAAACAAATGTTTACTCTATTAATTGTGAAATTTCGAAAATTTAAACACATTTTTTTTCTTGTTTTGTTGTAAGAACAAAATATGAAAAACGAACTGTTAAAATAAAAACGTCGATTTAATTTTTTCCAAAAAGCCTCCACTGCCTATCAACTTTGAACAAACACATTCTTAAAGGTAAACGCATGAGCTATTAATATTCGAACAAATCGTACGTCATAATAATATTATGATTTCGGTCGGACATTTATGTACAATCGTAGGAATAGTAATAATTATAATTATTGTATAAAATATATTGTAGCACATAATATTAAATTACACATCGTACCAGCACCGTTATATAATATATTACTGATAAATTCGGCCAGGGGAGTTGGTAATAAAAAGGCATGACAAAAAAATGTGCAAGATGTATTATGATATGAGCATCTGTTCAAAATAAATAGAGATCACGATCTAGCAAAGATAGGCATTCGGTCAAAGGTTCCCAATTAGTGATAACAAGTTACCACTTTGGTTATGGCGGTTAATGCCAACGTCCCGCATAGTTAGCTCGCCCTTCGTGGTCCTTTTTTTTATGCTAGATTATAACCATATGGAGAGTAATACTGTAAGGGTAGCTAGAAACCTATGACAGCTGCTTGTCGAAGATATTATTTCGTGATACAGAATATGGACATTATTATGTGATAACTGTTATCAGATAACAAATGGACAAGTTGTCTGATTACCGCACCACTGCGAAACGGAAGTTATCCGCGTCGCTTTGGAAAAATTCGAATTTATTAACTTCAGCAAAATGTATTAATTTCTACTAATAACAGCTAATTCCACAAATCGTTTTTATTTAAATCAATTCGTTTTATAATATTCTAATAGACTGAAAACTTCAAATATTTTCTTATCGTTTGGATAACATCAATCATGGCTTTTCATATCGTTAAACATTTTTTATTATGTATTCAAATTTTAATACGAAAATAAAGATTTCTATTTATAATATTCAAGAAGCTGTGTAGCGATAGTGGTGAAGCAATGATTTATTGTTGCATATTTATCCACTTGTCTGTGACCAATAGATAAAACTATCAACAGAATTATAATCACTATCGTTTTAAAATTATGACACTAGGCCCACAAAATATATTTAATTTTAGCACTATGGAGCAGATGCCAGATTATATTGTTTATAAACTTTTACCATTAAGTATTTATAATGTACTATATATATTTAATGCTATTACTAAAGCAAATAATTATACTATTATTAAACAGTGAACAATCACTTTCATAACATTCTTATTTTTCATAAGAGAATTAAAAATACGTTTTTCCTATTTGGGTACAAAGAAAATGTAATTTAATAAGCTGTAGCTATCGGGTCGAATCTTAATTATAAATACAAAAATGTAGTATTTTAGAAATAATATGAGATATTTGATTTATAAATCAGGCTCTTAAAAGTATATTTTATACAATAAAATAATGGTAAAATAAATGGTATTTTTGGATAAGAATAAAAAATATTTAGTTGTCCCTAAAAGAGTACTATCTTGCTTCAACATATTTTTTTTAACGTTTTTTTATATATTTGTTTAGACAGTTTAGTTGGAAACGGCGTGAACTATGCGGAAAATCAACTTAAACAAATGTCAATAAGAACAGATCCACCCGCTGAACCAGTAAAACATGTAAAAGGTAATTTTATATCAAAATATTTGCATATATATGAGGCATCTTGGTTTATAAGCTAAAAAAAAAAAATGAATTACTACAAGTCAGTATAGTAATTTTTATGGTAATGATTTTGTTGGATAATTAATTGGATTGCCGACTGTTTTGTATATACATTTATAATAATAGTATAGTAATCTATGTTGTTTTTTTTACATGTAAATATTAGTTTAAAATATAATTGTTTTACTAACACAATTAATTTTAATAATACTATCAAACTGCACTTACTGTTAATGTACCTAAATCCTACGTAGATATGGCTACTTAGACGGTGCAATGCTTAGTTTGCAGACAAATATATATTCAATAAGAACATGCAAAGTGTTACTTGTACATGTACGCGGTGCTATACCCAAAAATGGCGACCGTTTCTCATGTGGGGTTTGTTTTTAAGGAGTTTTGTATAGGCAATTATTAAGGAAAAAAGAGGTTTTAATAAATTTCGACTATATAAATTAATTTACCGGTCAATTTGTGTAAGATTCGTGGTATTATTTTTAATTTAAATCATTTTGTCTATAATTAAAAGCCATTTTGGTTTATTTTAGACCAAAAAGTCAGAAAACATTTCGACTGTGTAGGATGGCCCCAATTTCAATTCTGTTAAGAGATTCGATTTTTTTAGCTACTTTACTGTGTTATGTAGGAAGCCGGTTTTCATTTAAAAGTTTCAGTTTCTTTTAATTAAATTGATCACATTTGCGATTTTTTCAATTATAAAACCCAATTCGTTAAAACCGCTTTTACGTTAAAAAAGCAAAAAACAAAAATCAATTTCCCACATAACCTCGAATGCCAAAACACTGGTATAATTAACAGAATTCAAATCGGAACATCTTAAGTAGTCGAAATTTAGTCTGGCTTTTTGGTCTAAAATGTCAAAAAACATACCGCATGCAATCCTCTTAAGAGGACGTCACACGGTCGTTATTTTCTTCGAAAAACTCGCCTTACGCGGATTAATTTTACAAAGGCTATAATCACAACTAAGAAACCAAATTTTTACATAATATAGACAACAACATTGTCTGTGCTCTACACTGGCCCTTTTTTAATATTTTAACCAGTAAATGAATAATTAATTAATTAAGAAAGGACTTTATTGAATTTTTTAAAAATGATATAGCGTTGGATGTATTAGGTATATCGAAAAATACGGATGACGGAACACAGATAATTTTGTCATGAATAATATGTATGAATTTCTTTCCTTAACTATTTATTTTTCTGGTCAGGTGGCACTGCTGAGAGCCTTCCTATTCACACGTTATGTCGTTGTATCGTAGTCATCAGACTTGCTGATTATACATATTTTGTATGGATTGTAAATAAAGAAAATATATTTTTTAAAAACTATATATGAAGCCTGAGAAAGTCATTTTGTCTGTGAATAAAAGCCATTTTAGTTAATATATAATAGTACATTTTTTGTCCGTCGCACAGGCTGCCCCCGAATAAGTAATCCGAAAACAGATTTGAATTTTTCATGAAGTTTACTTGAGATCGGTCAGCGTACTTTTTCGATATCTTATTCCCCTACTACGCACAAAACACACGTTTGAACATTTTATAAAATTTCAAATTTTAAAATAAAATTCGGAAAGAATTAAAATGAAAAATTTGAAAAAAATACTCTCACCGATCTCAAGTAAACTTCATGACGAATTCATAACTGTTTTTAGATTGCTCATCGGATCGTTGGTTCGGCGTGTAATTATTACAACTACAACAATTTTGAAGTTGAATATCATTTTCAAAATTTAATTTTGTTTAAAAATGATTTTTTTTAAGTTCGCCAAAACTAACAAAATCTCACAGAACACGTTATATCTTACTCAAACTGAATTTTTTCGTGAAACAAGCAAAATATGAGGAAGTATCCACTGTATAAAAAAATCTGAAAGAATTAAAAAAAAACTGTCATCCCCGCCGGATAAATGGTGTTCCAAATTTGTAAAATTTTAATACAAATTAAAACAATTTGGCTGAAATTTAGTCAATTACTTTTTAAACAAAATGAGTATCAGGTTCATGTTGCTCATTTACAGAACTGGAATGGTAAGGTCAAATTCATGAGTTTTAAGGTTCCTTGTAA